ATGAAATGTTAAAAATTTTTAATTTAAATTTTCAATTAGTTTCAATTCCTGTTTTGACACTTCAAATATAAAATTTTGCGTCACAGAGACATATTATTTAAATAAAAATGTATTTCGAATGTACAAAAAATATATTTAATTAAAATATTTAATATACTATAGTAAATTGTTGCTTACATAAAGATCGATCAATTTAAAGTGTTACTTTACTTTTTTATTCAATATAGTTCAATGGTTTTAATTAAAATTCAAGGAATTGAGATTTAAAGAAGTTCAATATTTAAATAATTGTTCCATGGGTTTTGAAATTTTGTTGTAATTGAATTGCGCGATTAGCAATTGTAATAAATTTAGTTTTTGAATAATAAAGTTTCTGATTTGTCATACAATTTTATTATAACAATACTAATTTTACCTATTGTATTTATGACGATAAGAGGAAATTGATTTATTTTTTATTTATGAGAAAATATAAGTTCTATAAATTTCTAATCGTAATAAACACAACACTTGCATGTCAATATAACGTAAAGTAAATAATAAATAGATTGAAATCCGCGCTTAAATTCATAAATTATTAAGGCAGATATACAATGATAGTCAAAGACGCATAGTACAGATGTTCAATATAATTAATGAAAAAAATAAAGCAAAATGAATGGGACTCAAAAAAAAATGAATTTTAAATTTGATTAACTATAAGAAGAAAAGTCTATTATGGTATATTTTCTAAACTTTTCATGCTTCTTCTAATAATTAGGTACTATGTAAATATATTTCTTCTTTCATATATGCAAATTAATAGGAGAAATTTTGCCCTATGTATTTATATTGTTAATAGACAATTGTATTGTTAATAGACAATTTAAAGCTATACTATTTATACAGTAATATTAAAATCGAACACTTTCTGTGCGCCATCTGTGAGAGTTTTATCATATTTTTTTTGGTATTGTACGTAAGTTTCTTCTCTATTTTATGTTTTAATTTATACGTTGTATACGAGAGGATTTGAATTTACAATTAATACAGAAGAAACAAGGATTGTCTGCTTTTTGTCTTAAAAGTGATTAAAATTGCTAAAAAATTGCTAAAAGAAGTTGTTAAATTTCTATGGTAATATTTATTATACGTAGAAAATGTTATTAATATAAAATATAAAAATTATATCATATATTACAATATCCACTTAAAAATAATCGAATAAATGACGTAATTCAAAAATGTTAATATATATTAAATTTTGTTCATTTGTTATATATTTAGGTTATTGTATTATGATGTATAACCTTAGATGATTTACTTTTATTTACTTTTATTATATAATTTCAAATATAATTTAAATTTAATTTTTCAGATTTTCATCTATATTATTTAGTGCTCGACAATATGGCAAAAAATCCATCGAATGAAACTGTTTTCAGTTACTATGACTGCTTACTGAGAGCAAGTGATGTTGCATTACTTCAAGGACCACACTGGTTAAACGATGTCATAATAGGATTTTATTTTGAATATCTAAATGAGACATTTAACAAAAATGGGAAAAAGGAATTATATTTTATCAGCCCTGAATTAACGCAATTATTGAAAATGACAGATTCATCGCAGTACAATATATTTTTAGACCCTTTAAATGTATCAGAGTGCAAATGTATTCTTTTCCCCTTGAATAACTGTGATAGAAAAGATGCAGCCGGAGGATCACATTGGAGTTTATTAATATTTTGTAAACAAGATAAAACATGTTATCATTTTGATTCGTCAAAAGGGTATAATGGTAATATTGCTGCAAAGTTTGCAAAGAATATAATGAATTGTGTACTTGACAAAGATGAATTTAATAAGTTTGTTGATATAGATTGTCCACAACAAGATAATAGTTATGATTGTGGAGTTTATGTTTTATGTTTAGCAGATGTAATTACAAAGCATGTTCTAAAAACTGGAAGGATAGATGGATGTAATTATAGTCAGATTAAAAAATTAGTACATGCAAAACGAACAGAATTATTAAACTTAATAAATGATCTTAAATGTAAATTAAATGACAAATGATATAACATGCAATATAAGTAAATAATTTATGATTATATTTAATTATTTTTGTATTAATGTTATTTAATTATTATTTAATGTTATCAAATAATTTGTAATTTTATGTTGCATTTATATATATAAGTAATAAATGTGTAAATATTACTATTTTTATTATTATATATTTATAAACTTAAAATATGTATTATATATATGATATATAATATATGAATTTAAGTATACATGTCATTTAATATGATATAAAGTGAATGAGAAATGTTCAAATGCTTACATTTGCAATTTTTGGAAGCTGTAGTAAATCTTAAAATATCTTATTAAAATTAAAAAACTACTCTATATTTATTATCATTATGTCGTGATTATATTTATCAAGAATTTTCCATTACAGTTTTTCATTGATAAGAACTTCCATTTATCATCTAATAAACTTAACATTTTAAATTCCTGGAAATAAATGAAATTAATTTAAATAAACTTTTTCTTATTTCAATATCCAGTTCTAGTCTTAATTTTGTTTATTGTCATGCAAAAAAACAATATTCATTTGACTTATTTAATGTTACCAACAAAATATAAAGCATTCGTTCATTCTTTTAAAAGTATGTTTTGATAAAATCAAAAGATAGAAGAGTTACAAGAATAACAAAATTAATAGAAGAGATGATATATAAAGACAATCAACCATTGTCTATAGTGAATTTTGAAAGCTGATTAACCATCTTGAGCCAAGATATTCCTACAAGAAAATATTTAAAACAAATAAAACAGTTCCAGAATTATAAGGAAGAAATCAAGAGGAAAGTTCAAAAATTATTAGAAGTCGAATTTACTGGAGTTACAACTGATATGTAGACATCAACCTCGTCTAATGATTATCTTAGTTTAACAATATATTTTTTGAATATATTGTATTATGAATATATTATATTGTATTGAATATAATGTATTGTGTCATTTATGTTTAGAGTGCATTTCATTTCAAGAGATTTCACACAAAGCATATGTTATTCAAACTTTTATCATGAAAACTATCGAACAGTGGAATTTTGTATTATGAGGAACCAAGCATTATTGCAACATTAGAACGCACTGCCATATCTTGTTCATTCATTCGTCATTAGTCATTGAATACAGATTATTGAACAAAACTAATGTCAAGATACTTTATATGGAGAATTAGTACAAAATGAAAATACTT